GCACTCCAGATAGCCGTATGATGCCTGGAGCGTGGCCCGAGTCAGTGCCGTCTCAGTGGTCCACCAATGCTGCCACCGATGATGTAGATAGCCCAATGACTTCTGATGAAGTAATTCTAACCAACGATACGGATATGGCCGAGGCTGAGGAGCCGACTGTTCCTGTGATTCAGGTTGCCGAACCACAGCCTTCTTCACCTTGGTATGCTTACTGGGGGACGTGGCAAGATTATATGCAGACCGTTGTCTCCATTCCTGTTGGAATTACGCAGAACTTCTCCTATGCGGCAAGGTCCGCTGCGAATGCGGTTGGTGCTGCTAAGCGACGCGTGTGCGCACTGTGGAATCGCCGCGGTGGACGTCGTCTTCCTTCGCCTCCTGGATCGCCCACGCGCCTCAACCTTCGCAATCTGTCTCCAGAACAGCAGGAGCGCATGGATCGTGATAGAAGGATCCGAAGTGGAGAATCTAGCCCTCGTACCGACAGATCTTTCCCTGACTTCTCCAATGTTCCCGATTTCTCCTCTAACAACAGAACGGCTCCTACAGTCGAGACTTCCCGAATCTTGCAGGACCTTGTCTCTCAGGAGCAGGTGCCTGAAGAGCAAGTGCCTGAAGAGCAAGTGACCCGGACCCCCAGAGGCTCTGTTTCCGTTGAAAGACGTGCTCGTGGTTCAAAGAATATGAGAACTCGCCCCGCTCGGGAATCCCCTACACGCTCGGCTCACCGTTCAGCTCGACGTTCAGCGCAAGAAACAACCCAAGAATGTCTCCGTCAGCAAGGAAGCCCGGGTATCCGCAAGCACCGGTGGATAACGCGTGCCGAGCGCGCCGCGAACCGTGAGCGATCTGCGCCTTTCAGAGCCCTCTTCGTTGGGGACATCGCCGGCATGAAGAAAGTTATGGAAGCTCAGGCCGCGCACGACCGTCAGGCCTCCGCCGCAGGTAGCCGTGCTGTTGAACCCATCTTGATGAGAAGCAACGATGAACTAGACAGAGTACAAGATATGAACATGCTGGCGAACATCCAGTCTCGCTCAGCCACTATTGGCATCATTTCTGATGACACCGTCAAATTGGGTGCAACTGAAAAGATTCTCTCAGCGTCGACCACTGTTGCACCTAAGACAATCCTCAAGGTCAGAGGAACTCCCGACAGTTCTGGGAATAGAACCAGACCTCGCCGCGCCACTCCGCGCAGGGTCCGCTTCCGTGAGCCCGTGGTAGCCGAGTTCATTGACGACACGCGAGAATGGGGTGAGGTGGAGGACAACCTGGCACCCCATCTCGGAGATACATTTGATGTGAATGAAAAGACAGCTCTTGAAACCAATGTTGGTACGAAAGCCGAACAGGTCACAGAAAAGGAAAACGTGCCGCCAGCCCCCGAGAACGAGGAAGAGGATGAGCCCGTCGTTGACCCCTGGTCCCAACCAACCTTTGAATACCCGCTGGGTCGAGCAGTGTCGGCCGTCAGTCTATTTTACCCCGAGCCAAGACCCATTCCAGAGGGCCGAACCGAGTCGGTGTACGCCAACCGCTGGAGGCAGATCCAAGAAGAAGAGAGACAGAAAGAGCTCCCATCACGGATCAAACCGGATGGCCCAGCTGTACGGCCCCTGTCTCCCGAATGGGAAGCCCGCATCAAAGAACTCCAAGATGGACGCGTATCCGGAGGAAAAACCGTCGCAACCACCCTCTCCGGTGACCCTTTAACGAAGAGGTCCCTCGCCACCTGTTACACGCGCGGCGAATGGCTCAACGATGAGATCATCAACGGATATCTTGCCCTTATCGTTGATTACCTTCGCCGCAAGAATCACAACGCCGGCCGCAACGACAAGCCCCGATTCCACGCCTTCAATTCGTTCTTTTTTTCGAACTTGAGAGACAAAGGCTACGACTCCGTGGCCCGCTGGGCCAAGCGGGCCAAGATCGGAGGGCCACTCCTCCTCGACGTAGACACCGTCTACATCCCGGTCCACAACAGCCAGCACTGGACGCTGGTTGTTGTGCGACCGGGAGAACGCTCAATCGAGCATTTCGATTCTCTTGGGGCCCGGTCTCGCCGCCACATCGCGGTAGTCCAAACTTGGCTCCGCGGCGAGCTGGGCCCCAAGTACGTCGAGGAGGAGTGGCGCGTGCTGCCGTCCCTGTCCCCACAGCAAGACAATGGTTCCGATTGCGGGGTCTTCCTCCTCACCACCGCCAAGGCTGTGGCCATCGGCCTCGAGCCACTGTCTTACGGCGCGCAAGACACTCCCCTCCTGCGCCGTAAGATAGTGGCCGAGCTGATGGCCGGCGGCCTCGAGGGGGAATTTGACCCCGCCCAGCAAGACCATGTCTTGCTATGATCGGGGGCGGGGAGGGCCAAAGAACAAAAGAAAAAAAAAAAAAAAAAAAAAAAAAAAAGGGGGGGTTATAAAAAAAAAAAAAAAAAAAAAAAAAAAAAAAAAAAAGCGGAGGGACTTTCACCGCGAAGGTATGAAGCGTCAATCTCTTTTCTTCTTACCCCGAACTTGTATCTACATGCTTGGGTGCTCACCTTTACGTTGCACTTCTTTTGTTTTCTGGATATTGGTGTTTGGTTTTATTTGCTTCTTGGTTTGAGCGTCCTAACCACAAACAGGTTCAGAAGGAAAAGGAGGATGGGGGAGAGGACGACAACGGCAAGAACAACAACGACGACGACGACGACGAGGAAGCAGAGGAGGAGGAAAGGACATCGTTTGCATTTCTGGGGGTTGTTTCTAAGCGTTTCACATTGTCTTGTATGGATACCCCGTCAGTCGAGCTACAGCTCCTGACATGTATGTTTTCGGATTTGCTTTTGGACTTGTTTTGGGATTTGTCTTGGGGATTGGACATTCGGCATTAGCATTGGGCATCAAGCATGGCGCATGAGATTTGGAAGACTTCGAGGAACAGCGGAAGGTTATGTATTTAGTCGTGCCTTCAGGTTACCGTACAGCCCCTTCGGTTCGACGATTTGTACTTATGAAGGCAGATACCCAAGAAACACTTTTACTACTGCATATACAGCCACGATAGAACTGTAGAAGACGCAGATGCGAAGACTTGCATAATTCCGCGGTGAAGAATTAGGATGAATTCTATCAAACTGGATCAAAGAATAGGAACGAAACACAACAGAACACCACAGCCCTCACACAGGATGCCACGGATCAATCCAGCACGGCCTCTGACACCCATCACCCTTCTCCTTAGCCTTTCCCATCTTCCGTTCGACATCATCTTCATCTCCACCTACCGAAGAAGCAAAAGAAGCAGAAGCAGAAGCACTCCCCCCAACCCGATGATACCGATCCCTATGCCCAGGATGATCCTTGATCGGAAGATCCTGATCAGCTTTAGTAACATTATAAACCAACTCAATCCACTCAATGCCCATAAACACACTCTCCCCGACCTTCATATCCCCCGACCAATTACCGCCATTACTCCACAGATTCATCGCCACAATACTCGGCCGATCCGGCACGGAATAGTTACTCTTACTCTGTACCTGCCCATCCGCATACCAGGCCGATATATCAGCCACCCAGTCCAGCCGATGCGTCGTCCACGACGTCCACGGCTTACTCAGATTCACGATCGAGCTTGCCCCGGGGATGACAGTGTCCGAGATGGGATCGTAGTCCGGTTGATTAGCGTAATGTATCGTGTGGGTGTCTTCAGTGGTGAGGATCTCGATGTCGGATTCGCAGGTCGACGATCGGTAGGTGAAGATGCCGGCGCAGCTGCCGCGGGGGATTTTGGGTTGAGGTTGTGATACTGCTTGGGTATCGGATGCTGCTGCTGCCGCCATTAGGATGTCGTCTCGCGACATCATTCTCATTCGTAGGCGTAGTGAACAGTGGTATATGTATCCGAAGAGACCTTCCATTTCGGCTGTTGATGCGTGGTCCTGGAAGCGGGTGGTGCGGAGGACGAGGAACGATGAGCGTGGGTCCTTGGGTGTGCTGGTTGGGTGTTTGAGGAGGAAGACGTTCCCGTCGGTGTTTTTCATTGGTACGGGGCTGATGTCTGTTGCTTCGCGGTCCCAGGTTTGGACGCGCCAATCGTGCGAGAAGAGGGTGTTTGTTAGGGGATAGATTTCTAGTGTGGATGTGTCGTGCGGGTTGGAGGGGTTGGTTTGCGTTGTTTCGGCCCTGGTTTGCGGGAGAGGGGCGTTGCGGAAGTCCCAGAATCTGTAGTGAGTGAAGTAGGTTGGGGTTGTCTGGTTCGAGGGGCTGTTGGAGGTGATGCTGGAGGTGAGGTAGCAGTCGCAGTTGGCGTGGGGGTGGTCGTCTTGCAGGTTGGTGGTGGGTATAGATATTGCGGTTGCGTGGAGGAGGTGGGTCGAGAGGATGAGGGTGGTGAGGAGGAATTTCATTTTGAGGAGTGGTGGTGGTGGTATGAATAGTAGGAATAGGGTTGAGGATAGATGTAGGAGGGGGGTGTTAAGGATAGTAGTGGTTGTTGTATGATGATGAGGACGGTTGAGAGAATGATGATGATGTTGGTGAGCTGATGATAGGATATGTTGACATGGAAGGTGCGTCATGGCGGTCACTTCCATCAACTTGATAGTTGTTGGGTCTGCATGATGAAATGAATGTAGTTTGACAGTTTACCACAACGTTGAGCGTGAGTTGATCTTTGACGGGATTATTTGCGGAGGGAACTATATTGTTGGGGACGAGAAGTATACAAAGTGGCCCACTTTGTATGGAGATATGCGCCCCCCCGGAATCACTTTCTGCCACACCATCGTTTGCACGCACAACCCTAGTCCTGGGAAGGTCGGTAGAAACATAGGGATCATGACTAGCGAGTGATATTCTGTTGGCTTACTGAGGGCTTATTCATGTGGTAGAGGGTGCTTGTGGCGTGGGTAGTCACGCAGCTATAACCAAGCGACCAGCGGAACTTTGGTCCGATTAGCATAAATCCATTCCTTGCTCATCAAATAGAACTATGCTAACCATATACTACGTGTGCAGTCAGGAAACATCCCCGAATTATCGCCCTTGAACAAGCAACCAATGCCTACTCAGCTCATAATATTCCAATCGACGATATATTTCAAGCCAACCACAAGATCCAAGTTGAAGCCACCCCAAAATACTCGAATGGTTTGCATCGTAACGGTCCGATCTCATTAACTTCGTAACGGAGATCCTATTGTCCGTGTCGATGAGCGGATAATCACACTGGCGTCGCGGAAACACGCGTTTAAGAATTGATACTCTAGACACAATTGCTTACCTGGTCTAAGTGACAGTATGTTTAGCATGCCAGTCCCTAACCCAAGCGCTGATTATTGGAGATGTCAAGAACGAGCCATCAATCGATTCATAGCGTCAAAGGCCTCGATTAACATCTCGTCGCTTGCATTGGCCAGAGCGATTGTTTCATCTTCGTCTGCGTCTGAATCGTCCGCTTCTTCTCTTGATTCTTCTAATTTCCCGTCAAAGTAAAGCCACAGGAGCATCAGATAGGCCATCTTAAGGACCCTCTGTTTTATGTCCGACGGTGGCATTGTGATCTCAGGGATTAAGGTTGCCAAAAGAGATTGACTAGTATGCGATACGGTATAGACTATGTTTTATGATTAAGGGTCCAGTCCTGGATTGAAGATGGATATTGTGACTTGTGGAAGATGGAATCGGAAAGACTTTTCATTGCAACCTAGTTTATGGCGACCGCTAACCAGTTCGGCCTCGCGTATAATTCGCTTATAATTATATTATTGCAGAAGCTCTCTAATATAATTATAAGCGAATTATATTAACGAAACAGGTTTAGCGCTGCCGCTCGGGAAACCAATGTATACAGGAGCTTGTTCCAACTATAGCCTTACTAGTACTGAGATCAGGGATAATGCGCCTGTTTGACAAGGACTTCGGCTGATGAAATACCATCATCCCAAGTCCAAGCTGGCTTATCTCGCCTTCTCGGGTTCTTGCTGCAGAAGTCAAGTCTATGCGAGCTGTTTGCACGTCATCCATAGCAGTGTCATGTGCCCCGCTGGCGGTGTCTCTCACGCTGCACTGGCTTTCGGTCTTATTCCGCCGTCTACCGCGGCTATTGCTCTCATGTCTGGTTTTGTTATTCATTCGCAGTTCAGAACACGAGTTCCGGAGAAACCTACTACTAACCTTGTGGCGCGCAGGCATAGAGTTAATGAGCGAGATGCACTAAACCACTTACGGGCATAAAGTACGATATTGTGGAGCCGTAGACTATGGTCTCGGACTAGCTGTGAAGGAGAAACAAATTGAAGTATAGGAAAGCATCAACTCGAGGGTTATAAAGGTTCAGGCAATACCCAAGTGAACCATTATGTCTGCAGTTCTAAGTCTGGCATATCCTTGCAAGTCATCTTTCTTTCTCCACATCCCTTCCCACCAGAACGAGTGATTTAAAGGACTGAACAGCTCCCAATATGGCTTCTGCAAATGATACCCCTGGCTATATCCCAGTCTCCGAATGGCCGAACCTCGATGCCCTCGCGGTAGGCTTCAATGAGCACTTGATGGCTGAGTCCCACAAGCTCATCGGGAAGAGCCTAACGCTCTTCCTCAACGAGGCCAATCTCACACGGATCGCGCACCGTTTTATTGACGATGACACTCTAGAATGGGAGGTTCAGAGCAATAAACAGACCGGGTCTGCGAAGTATAAAGCCTTCGAAGTCCGGCCAGACACCTTCTTTGTCGACTTTCACAAGCCCGATTATCAAGAGCAAGTCAGTCTCGTGATGAACCTGCGCACCGGTCAAGCCATTGTTGGACTCTCTGGCTTTCACATCAAAGACGGGCAGAAACGGACCTGGACTCGGTTCTCGAACGCCTCAATTGACCGACGTAACGATGTTGTCCCGTTTGCGCCGACAACAGATCTTATCGGTAAACACATCCTATACCGCTACACGCCTCGGGATGCCTACGAGCACATCTACCTAAATCAAGGCACATTGACGTGGCATTGTCTGAGTGGGACCGAAAAAGGGCTTGCAGACACTGAGCCATGTAAAATGCTGAAGCTGGATGAGAAATTGTATCTGCTGTTCTGGAGTGAGAAGATCATGCCTGTTGAATCGATTGTCGTGGTGGATCTTCAACAGATGCGCTCGACAGGCCGGTTCTTCTGCTGGGATCCGAAGCCGGCAAGAATGGTGCAGATGTTATTTGGTTCGTACGCGACGATATTGGCTGAAACGGATGCTGCTGGAACGCTTGCCTTGAGAGGATCGCATATCTGATCATGGCTTCCAAGGAAAGGCGTACTGGATAGTTAAGGTAGCGAGATGAGCATGTAGCATTTAGTGATAAGCAGTCACAACTGTATGCCCGATCAGATATTCAGATGCATATTATCCTTGGCTTTCTGCTTATCATTTGTTTATCAAATCCCTGGGTTCACGATTGGATAAGGTGGGGAAGACGGAGTATTTCCGTAGCATTGCTGTGCCCCATAACTCTCCTTAAGAACCAGGCCCGCTCGAGGCCCCAGTGGCTTCCTCCATGCAAACAACGAGACATGCCTAAATACAAGACTTCAAACCCACGAAAGAGAATCAAATCGCGTGGTAAGAGACCCAGCTCAGTAATTAAACAGCAGTTACACTAACCACAACGTCTGACCCGTAGCCGGCTGTCAGACATGCAAGAAACGGGTGAGTGACATACGACTAACCCATCGTGGGCACCGTGATCTTGCTCTGAATACAACCTAACGTTGGTAAAACAGCGCATCAAGTGTGACGAGAAAGCCCATGGTTGCTCTCCGTGTGAGAAGAAAGGACTGCAGTGCCCTGGCTACAGGAAAGATGTGAAATGGTCCGATAAATATGAGTTGCTCAGAGGGTCTGCAACAAGCCAAGAACATTCATTGCACAGGGATGATTCGGCCTGGTTCGTAGAGGGTGCTCTTCAACTAAGAGCTGCCATCGCTCCCAGCCATATAGCGAGCTTCAAGACCGCGGACGCGCCATTGGAGAGCACAGACACGGCAATGAGTACCGCAGACTGCTGGATTAACACACATGCTTGGGATACGTTGTGCAGTTCTTCTGCAGAGCTGTACCATGATGACCAGCTCTATCAGAATCGATTGCCATACAGCTGTCCGGAACCAGTTACTGACAAATTACTGAGATACTACTTCTCGCAAGTGTGCAGCATCCTTTCTGCCTTTGACTCGTCGCAGAATCCGCTCCGGTCGCTGCTCAAAGAGCTCATACCATCATGTCCAGCATTATTGCATTCCGTTCTCTCCATGTCGTCCGCTCATCTGCATCGACGAGAAAAAGACCGGATGAGGTACTCGCTTGAACATCGAACCCAGGCTATATCACAGCTGGCCTCCAACATCACAGACATTACTAGTGCTGAGGGTTCTGCACCAGCCAACCTAGATACGACTGCTTTACTGCTGAGTTCTATTATACTCGGAATGACTTCAGTAAGCTCTACTTTGATTCCGTTTGGCAACTGGTCTTTCGTGTCCTTACTAAATCCTTACCGAAAATCAGACATGGCACGATGTATCCTTGCTAGATTTAGTGCATCTTAAAGGCGCCCGTACTCTGTTTCAAAAGTGGATGTTTAACGCCCACCGACAAAGTGTGGGACCGTCTCCTTATGATTCAAAATCAAGCTTCTTAGTTGGTGTGATGGCGTATTGGGAGGCTCTTGCATCCTTTCACGTTGATCAGGACCTGGAGGCAGTAGACTATCTCTGGGATATGTGCAGCAGAGGAACAGACTCGGCGGCTGGCTGTCCGAATCCACTTACCGGGGTCAGCACATCACTGTTTATCTCTATGGCTCAGGTCGGTACATTGTCAAGACAGCTTCGCCTTGTTGATCGGCTGTGCTCCCTGACAGGCCCGGATAAATACAAGGCAGAGATATATCTTTCACTTCTCGACAAGGCAAAGGAAATTGAGAAGTGCGTGCGCGCTTATGCTGTATTGCCGGTTGATGAGATTAGAGCTACAGGAGATGACCTCACCCCATCGAGCCATCTTCATACTATGGGACTTGTGTACCAGCTATCAATACTGCTCGAGCTTTACCGGCTTTTCCCAGAGTTACTTCGGTCGAGCGATGACCAGATCAGTTACAGCCCCAGTCCATCAGAGACAAAACACTTTCTCGACACGCTCACCACAAACATCTTGACACTGTTGCTTTCTATCCCTCCATCATCCAGAACCAAGGCTATCCAGGTTCTTCCATTGATCATTGCAGGCAGCGCGCTGCAAGGGCAGACGCAGCCCTCATCCAGTACATCGTTGTTGCCGTCATGTATTCGCGATCCGATTCAAGGGATCATGTCACTATCTAGCAACAGCATCATCACAAGTTATTGGAGACGTGTCGTCATGGACAAGATTACCAGTCTACAAGACTATGTTGGTCTGGACTCGGTGGACTACGCGAGGAGAATAGTGGAACGAGTGTGGATGCGAGCGGATAGCATGAGCTCAAGAAGCGCAGGGGCTTGCTCCATGGTTAGCTGGTTAGACGTGATGAGAGAGGACAAGCTACAGACGTTCTTTGGTTAACGACGTGTACGTCTCCTTCCTGTGACGAAGCAATCCATACATACCATCAGCACACTCCCTTATCAGCGCTTCCAAAACAATGGCCCTGGGCAGTACCTATGCGTCGTATGCCTGAGTGCTTGGGCAAGATGCTGTTAAGTATGAGGCATATTTCCCGGCCTTGTTTTGGAATATCTGAGATCGCTGGTTGAACGTTCTGTAGTATTGCCAGTCTCAAGTCAGCGAGGCGTCCAATCTATGGTAAGCGAACCCCGCCCGTCTGTCTGGAGAATGAGGCCTGATGGACACCGTTTTCATCGTGTATACAATCTGACCAGTACGGTTATCGATACGAAAGTGAGGACGATGACGCCGAAGGATGCTACTAGTTATTTACGTTGTCCAATCAACTGGTGATGCTACTCTCCATTTCGGGTGGCGAGATGAGCAGGAACAATGGTGATTGGTTGTTTTGGGTCAGCTGAATGCAGTGTGTCTGCCAAGCCGCCGATATGTTGTGATGCGTTTTGTCACGGACTGTACCGTGTATTGTCACAGCTGGCTCGCGATAACATCTTGTGCGATTGAGTATACTATACAGGAGAAACAACGAGATAGAAAAGTTACCATGCTTAGTCCTGTATAGAATGACAAGTCTAAAAAAGCAGCGCTGCTATTATGGCAATTCCCTTGGATGCGACTGTATGCATTGAGGTCAGGCGCTGGAATGAATTCGGTTGGGTGAAGCGGGTGCCACGAAGGAAGGCAGCCAGCGAGGGGCGGGATCTGCCTGGATCCCCTTCTCGACGGTCGCTCGTCTCTTTTCCCTCTTGCAACGCCCCAGCCATCGCTTTTCAACCATCAACAACCGTCATCGAACTCCACCACAACCATCTCGCTGTCATCTCAAAACCCAGGCAAAATGTTGCTGATACCTGTCTAAAGCGTTCTATGTGCTTTATGTACATCAACCCGCGCAATTCTACCGTTTCTCCGTGTCCCCCTTTCGCCCATCATGACCACAACCCTCGAACGCAGCCTCTCTCGCACGTCGAGCATGTCCATCCCCGTCTCTAGCCCTCGACTATCTCTCATCCATGAAAACACGCCTCCAGCCCTAGCAGATCCGTCACTATCACACATTCACGACCGCCTGACCTTTCTGGACTCCCGCCTACTCGAACTACGCTCCAGCGTCCTAACCAAAGATGGCTACGTTGACCGACGAAACCGCGAAGACGAGCACATTCGCCGCGAATTCGAAGCCCATCGGTCAATATCTAGTCGAATCGATCTGAATGTTGTTGCGTTGAAGACAGACGTCGACCAGTTGAAGTCGGGGATCTCCCAACTCAAATCCAGTATCGGCCAAAGCGGCAATGAGACCGTCTTCCTTCGCAGTGATGTCGACCGTTTGTCGAAAAACGTGGAACAGATCCAGTCAGATGTTGAGCACCTGCAGACTGACGTATGTGGATGTCGCGTGGAGATCAGCAAACTACACGCGACCATCAGCCAACTTCGAACGGACCTGATTACTCTGCAACATGAGACATCGCGACATTTGACTTCTGTGTTCAATCGGTTCTCTCTTATTGAAGCTCGGATGAAGCATTCTGAACGAGTCCGTTTTAACTCTCTGGCCCACACGACACACGCCCCGATCACACCTGTTCCTGTCGTTGAAGAAGACGGATCGTTGCAGTGGCCTGAATATTTCCCTCGCACTGTGTGGAGATTTTGGTGTTTGAAGAAGCGAAGCAGGAGTAAGTGCAGGAATCATGTGCGTCACTACGGCAAGCATCTAACGTTAACTCAGTCAACCGATTGGCACAACTGGCCGACTTCTATCAGCTTGGAGGATACGAGTATTGGGGCCGCATGCACCAGGAGCAAAGCCTGTTTGCGAGTGATAGCGACTCCAGTGATTCCAGCGATTATCCGTCCAATTTGAGTCGCGCAGAAGCCGTACGCCTGTACCCCGAGGCTGCACACCAGGCCCTGGCTGCGACCTTGGGGTTGGTATATTATAAGATTCGCAACGAAGTGGGCGAAGGCCCGAACACTGCGCTAACCCGCCCACCTAAACGTCAGCAGGAAGAGGTGATCTCGGCTACTTCAAGCAAGGAGAAGCCGGTCAAAATGGCACGCCGTCCAACTGTGTCACCTACAACTCTGAAGAGGCTCATCACTGGACCCTCTTTAGAGTCCAAGTCTTTGACCTCTGAAGAGTCTGACAAGCTTGGTTGGAACGCCCATTCTGATATTTCTGACGACACAATGAGCAAGCTTCGTGGGATCGTTTCGGACGAGGTTGGTACATTGCTTCGAGCCTTGGAGAAAGGCCGGATCCGACTACGGTCTAACCGATCGGAGCGGACGAACATGTCGCCCACTGAGTCTAGAGCCGCTGAGTCTAAAGCTGGCTCTCGCAACAGCAAGGTTGCGCCAGAGGATGAGCCAACTTTGCCAAATACGATCCCCACCGAAGTTTTATCTATTTCATCTGATCATGCCGAGAAACTCGGAGATCACGAGCTTCCAGACACTGCGTCTGATGCTTCGAGTCCACTGACTTGAGCCATGCGATACACACTGCAGTTGTGATATCTCTACACAGTACGTCGATACGTCGGTTACGTCGTCTAACCGCCTAGCCGCTGCATAGCAGACGCTCGGGTATTCATGGATCGTCGTTCCGAATTAGGCTTATGTCGCGCCATCGATTGATCGAGGCTGCGGAGCCTGCTGGAACCTCCGATGAATACCTGAAAGGCAGAGACGACACTTGCTCGCCAAAGGTGAGCGTTTGACATATACCGACGATCTATCATGTCTTGGCTATATAAGCCGCTCTGGACATTGATACCCGACAAGCATCAAAGGCGTCCTGTTTGATCTATTTTGGTTCATAT